AAGTACTATTAGTTAAAGTTGTGAACATTTTGTCAACTTTATCTCATGTATTTCTGATTTTCAACTTACCATTATCAAGTTCTCATACGCTAAAAATATAATGAAACACGTCTACTGCACAATGAAAGTAAAAAATACTGAATAAAGTAACTTTTTACCACCTTTATATAATTCTTTGAGGAGAGATAGACAATATTGGCAGAAAATTTTTCGTGCTCTTAACATAGATGGTATTTCTATAGCAAATAACTTTGGAAATACTGTGAATATTGAGATAGGAGTGTGAACAACCTGTGCCAAATTGGACTTTAAATCTATTGGCATTAAAAAGTGAAAACCGCCAAAACTTGAGATAGATGGTATTGATTCTTAACCGTCGATACGTGTCCATCGTATGGTACTTAGGTTATGCGAGGCAGGAAGGGTTTACTGCTCCAGCATCCTTCCTTAACTCAATAATTATTGATGGAGATAATTGTGAAATAAATATTTTTATTTAAATAAGTACAACCCCCTTATTAATAAAAAGTTACACCTAGGAAGAACCTTGGATTAAAATGACATTACCATACCAAATGACAATTTAAGCCAGAGTTGAACTAGGGTGTAACTTTTATTAATAAAGGGGTTAAAGTTTTATTACTTCTTAAGGGTTTTATTATGGGTTGCTAAAGCGAATAAACCCACAAGACCCAATAAGTCCACCTACAAGATGGACCGACGACCTCATAAAGGTAGCCTGAAGGCGCTAGATGCAGGCCGCCACCAACCGGCCATTGTGGAAATCATTGGGGGAGGCCTATGTCTATGTTCAACTGGACGTCCTATGGCTAAAATGATCATGATGATGATGATGAAAGCGAATTAAGGGCTAATAGCTTGGATAGTTCATCGTAGGTATAATCCTTTCCTTTTCAATGCTTCTTATAGTTATATTAATAGATTGTAGTCATAATACATACTCGTATACATGGATGATTGTGTTATACTTTCATTATAATACTTAGTGGAATTACTGCTTTCAAAACGTGAATTAGAACTAGCCCCATAGCAGACATTTTCCTACATCTAAAGGCCTTTTAAAATATATATTGGTTATGGCTATTGGAGCGGGTACCACTTTCCATACATTTGTGCCCATCATCCTTTGGTAAAATGGTCCCTCATGACTTAAAGGTTAAGAACCACTGCTCTAGAGACTCAAAACTACAAGGATACACATGAACTCCAGTTTTAAATCCGTTGATATCTGCTGCATCTGCCATGTTTTTGGCTATAAGATTCTTCTATCTTACAGCTTAGACCTTTAGCTACAGACCTTAGACAGTATTTTTTATTATTTATTTGTGTCAGTGTGCTCTTCTAAAGAGTGTAAGACGATTGTATGTAGGTACTATTAAAATGTAATTTTAACTCATTGGTTTTGTCTCATATTTGAGGAATGTACTATGTATCATGAGTAGAGTCTTCGTTTAAAAGGATGCGAACGATTTAAATTTCAATAGGTAGACAAAATAGATAATTTTTAATTATCAAAAATTTAAGCTTTCTCCAGTAACACTGATATTATTATACTGTGACTCATCAAAGTCATCATTGTCAAAAATATTGACAAATCGCGAACTGTCACGCCCAAAAAACTGACACGCGTCCGTCCTCCGTAAGCGCCACCGCGCGACTGATTGAGATTGTCCAACAGTGTGACCACTTTTTCATCAGATAATCTACCAAAAACGATGCTCAAATCTACCAAAATCTACCAAGACCTATTTAAAATTCTACTTAAATTCTACCACATAAAATAAAACATATAATTTGAACAAAATATAGTATTTTTATTTATTTATCATCATCATTATAGTCTTTTTTAACATTTTTATATAATTTTTTGTCATTTTTCATTACTTATAGCATGGATGCTTCAGGTTTAAAATTTGTGCAATTTCCAGCGCTCTTTATAATATTATTAGTATAGATGTTACGGTTAATGTGATAAATTGAAAATTATTAATAATAACCGGTTATTATGAATAATTACCGACAGTCGCGGTAAAAGTGATAAATTAATCACATTTAACAGTGATTATTTAATAATTCAACCTTAGTACTAACAAATTTCATAAAAGAGAACAACATCTTGTGTACGTGCGTGCTCGTGTACAGCCAAACTTTTGAACGTTTTGATGTCATATATTAATATAATTTGGCATAATGAGTTTTTAATGTTTCTTGCATAATATCACTTTTCCATGATGCCTATAACATAATGTTTTGATTTAAAGTGAAAAATAGGTTAAGGTGCGGCGGGGGTGGCCCTTGGGCCACCCCTAAGCCGCCTATTTAGTTTTATACACACATAAATGACCTCATATTAATCACATTTACCAAATCATGCGGTGATTATTCATAATAACTGGCGATTATTCATAACTAGCTTTCCGCCCGCGGCTTCGCCCGCGTGGAATTTTGTCTGTCACAGAAAAACTTTATTGCGCGCGTCCCTGTTTCAAAAACCGGGATAAAAACTATCCTATGTTCTTTCCCGGGACTCAAACTATCTCTATGCCAAATTTCATCAAAATCGGTTGCGAGGTTTAAGCGGGAAAGCGTAACAGACAGACAGACAGACAGACAGACAGACAGACAGAGTTACTTTCGCATTTATAATATTAGTTGGGATTTTCACATTTATCACTTTGACCGTAACATAGATATAATTATAACGCTTTTAAAATTAGTACTATTTAATAATACAAGTTTTAAGTTTAATTTCATCTATATTAATAATTTCGTCAAGGGGTACGGTAGACTGGATCGAAACCTTATATGAATAACAAAGCATAAAAAAATATCGATTTTGAGTCGACAACATATATCCGCAAAATTCGGATAATGGAGAATTTCGTTAAATTCCGATGGCACTGACAAACAAACCGCTGTCGCCATCTTTAGTAGTTCACCATCCACTCACTATGCGATCAGCGCCAAAACCTTATACTATTTGCTGGGTTGTCATCGATCCATAAATAAATGGAGATCAGTGCGTTTCGCGATTTTTATGATAGAGTAGAACTACACTGAACTGTCCTTTATTTGACACTGACAGGAGGGCCACCGTCAATAGCGGATCGCTAGTTCCGACTTTTGCCACGGTGGAAACCACAGTGGAAACCATGTAGTTAAACGAAGATGGTGGCGCCCTTCTGTCAATGTCGTCGGTGGGACATTTCAGTGTAGTTCATCTATATACTCTTTGTTATGTGTTTTTTCTTTAAACCTGGTATTGGCCGATTAAACCACAGAAAAAGAATATTAGCCATAACCATAGAAGTTGAAGTTCAAATGTCAATGTCATTTAGTTTCGCACAGTGATAAATTCCAGTGACATGCAATTTTTGTATTGGCAAAATATTTGTAAGAAACTGCAAACAAATGCAAATGTGCAGTCGATGTGTGGAATGCGACAACATTATACTCGGTAAGCGGCTTAATATTTTTTTTATTTAACCCGACAAATAATAATAAATGACCACATACATAGCCTGTGTTGAGTTGTTATCAACATATATAGAAACAGACACGATTTTTGCACCGTTTTTTCTGATAACGGAATAGACTCCTTCACTATGAAACCTTTTTCCTAAAAAGCAAAAAGCTGCTTCTGCTGCATCACAAGATTTATTTGATGACTTTCAGGTAAGTTAATAGTGTAGGTCACTGAGTAAAGTAATAAATATAGAGGTGGGAGGATATACCTACACCTACATACATTTACAATACTTATTATTATTTGAATATTTGTCTAAAAATAAAATATATTTCTCTTATTAAACTCAGTTAGCTCAGATGGTAAGAGCGCGACAACGGAGAAGTCGAGGATGTAGGTTCAATTCCTGCATGTGGTGTATTTTTTCATCCCATCTTATTAAATTTGTTTAATAAGAGTAACACAATATAGCATTAAAAATTTAAATTAAATCTTTAAATTAAAGCTTTCAATTGGCTATTCATAAATATATTTCTCTTTTAAGGTTGATAACGAAGAGTTGACGCTAATCGAGGATTCATTGATGATTGATGATGCTTCTTCGGACAACAAGAAAAAACAGCCACTGTCAGTCAGCAGTGATGATGCTTTTTTGGACAACAAGGAAAAACAGCTGCTGTCAGTCGGCAGTGATTTTATTTCTTTAGAAGAAGAAGAGAAAGAAAACATATCAAATGGCGGGCAGACCCCCGAAAAAACGTAAATATTCAAGCAGGTTTAGTACAGAATATCAGCCCCCCCAGGACTAACTATTTATATTTAGCACTTTCAAATAACACCATTTAAGTATCAGTACATTCAGTTGGTTCTATGATTTATGAATGTGTTCAATGTTACGTGCAATCCGAATTGGCAAGAAATTTTAGATAATTTACAAGGCACTAAAAAAGAACATAGACCCGATTTAATTGCCAGAATTTTTAAACTTAAATTGGAGGAACTTTTAGATGACATTACAATAAAACATATTTTTGGAATACCGAGTGCGAGGTTTTACACTATTGAATTTCAGAAACGTGGGCTTCCACGTGCGCATAATGCTTATTATTCTAAGAAATGAAGATAAACCAAGGTCATCAGTAGATAATGATAAATTTGTGTGTGCAGAAATACCTGACCCAGATAAAGACCAACTTTTTCAGACTGTATCAAAAAACTTAAAACAAAGAGATTTATAGAGGAGAGTAAACCTTAAAAATATGCGACGTAGTTTGTTTGCGGTTCTTCGACGCTTGCGCTTTGGAACCGCGTTAAACTTAGTTTTTAAGTAAATATTGATGTCAACAAATGGTAAAAATATTTTTTGACATAACACTTTTCTGACTATTAATAAGAGTTATTTACATAACCTATATTAACGATTGAATTTGATTGTTTTGTTAATTTGTCTTAGTTTATTTTGAATGTTGATTTAAAATAAAAATAATTTGTGTAAAAACTTTTGCAGTTTTTATTTACCATATTTATTAAACACAACTAACGAAGCTATATATGAATCTATATTTAATATTCTTTGAGAACCGATGACTANAGCTTTCTCCAGTAACACTGATATTATTATACTGTGACTCATCAAAGTCATCATTGTCAAAAATATTGACAAATCGCGAACTGTCACGGCCAAAAAACTGACACGCGTCCGTCCTCCGTAAGCGCCACCGCGCGACTGATTGAGATTGTCCAAGCCGTCATGGACGATTTTTTCCACATTTTTTAACATAGTAACTAAATAAGACGCAATATAAAAATTTCATCCGTTAAAAGCCCTCAAGTTATTTCTGAACTTTAGTTTAGTAAAAGATTTAGAATCTCAAATCGCTTATTTTTAAAATAAAACCATAAATAGAAAACGAATAGAGGTAACTTTGGGAATTTATTCTATCGAGTCAACTTCATCAAATCGTGTTTCCATCCGTTAATAGCCCTAGAAAATATCCTCAACTATGCCCAATAAAAATCTTAGCCTTTAATTTTACTGTTTAGTACCTCAAAAATGAAAAATGAAAACCTCATTTTCGCCATTTTCTCTGCTACCCGGCCCCGCACGCTGAAACTTACCTGGGCAACAATATATTGCTTATTTATACGCGATACCGAACTTCATTAATATCCGACTACCCGAACTAAGAGTAACTATGATTCCACTTGGGTTAGGTATTTGGGGTATATAAAACATTTATTAAAATACCAGATCGAGTGTCGGATCAATTTCCAATTTGTAACTTTTAGGCCGAATCATTACGATTTGCCGACGGATAAATTGTAAGTTAACCTTTTAGGCTTAGGACTCATAGATGTATTTGTTAAGCCAACAGAAAAGTCAGGCCCTAGGTTGCACCATACCATGTTACTTAAACTGTCATCTCATACACATCAAGTGTGTCAAACTCTATACAAAAACACCGGTTAAAGTTATAGTTACTGTTATAGTTATAGTACGGGCGGGGCAGAAAAGTTCTCGAGTGGCGACCACGAGCCGGAAAACGTAGTGTGGGCAGGCCTCCCACTAGATGGACCGACGATCTGGTGAAGGTCGCGGGAGGTGCCTGCATGCGGGCGGCGCAGGACCGGTCTTTGTGGAAAACCTTGAGGGATGCCTTTGTCCAGCAGTGGACGTTTTTCGGCTGAAACGAACGATATTTATAGTTAGTGTCTAAAAATAAGGTAGATTGGCAACCTGTGTCACTCACAATCCAAGTGAATACGATGATTAATAATTACATAATTCCTAGACACGACTTGTGTACTCAGCTTTAATTTACACAGCGGCTAACGAGTTAAAACTTGTATCCGTCCGTCAGTTGTTTAGACAGAAACTTTATCAGAACTTCCCGGATCAGTTATAACGAAATAATTGAATCATTTATTACTTTATTAATGAAACTGAACAATTTTGATTCGTTCCAACATTGTTAGGAAATTTCGGCACAACTGAGTTGATACAACAATGCAAAAGTTGTTTGCGTTCTTCATCCATTCGTTTGTAAACATGACAATATCCGTCATCATAGCAATAAGAGAGTGAAAATGTTTGTTTATAGCCTGACCAGGAACATAAAAACCCTGGCATAGAGGCGCGTCAATTGCATTTGATAGTGCAACACTGAGTACAGTCGTACCTGTGTTAAATTAATATGCTAACTTTATGTATCAGGATTCAGGATTACGGGCTAATTTGATGTTTTCATAAATTAACGAAAAAATATTATTATAGGTAACCTGGTTTAAATAAATTAAATGAAACCATCAATCGAGCTAGAAGGATTTATTTTATTATTCATCAATAATCAAATTCAGAACTTGAATATTCAACTGCAATGTTTGCTCATGAACGCTTCAAACTCGGTACTTCTTTCCCAATTCCATAAAATTCAACACTTAGAAAGTGACATTTTTTTTTAAAATAGGTAGTTGAAACAAACCACAGCTAATTTTCATAGTGGACTGTACTATGCGATAAACATGTCAGTCAATTTGACAACCTTTGTCGGAAATATTATTCAATGAAAATATTGTCCGAACCCTTGGTATTTCTCTTCGACAAATACTTTAACACATTGTGAACGACTTTTCTTTCACGACTATAAAAAGATTTTAGCAATTTAATTCACAAAATCAATTGCGCACATTTAAAATAAAGTTTGTTTACACTTTGACAGCAATAGACTGACATGCAAGGTGACATGTCAATGAAGTTTTCAGTTACTGTTGCCATTAAAAGAAATTAGTACCATTAGTTTTCCGCAACATGGCGAGGGTTTTTATGTTCCTGGTCGGGCTATACCTTGATTTTTCTTAGGCTGGGTTGCACCATCTTACTTTGACTTTGACAAACTTCAAAAATCTGTCAAACTCCATACTAAATACATCGGTTATCTGTGGTTATCGCTATAGTTACAGTTAAAGTTAGATGGTGCAACTCAGCTTTAGACTTGTTGAAATGTCGACATTTTTTATTTATTCAAACACTGATCATTTATATTACTTCATGATGTAATACATAGAAATCACTGTAGTAAACTGAATTTACCACATACACTCGACAGCAAATAAATCGCACCACCCGCGACGCGAACTTTAAAGATTTTCTTTTGACACAATAATGGTGCCCTAACAATATTGGTGTTATTTGAAAGCCCAATAAATATCCTTAAAGAAAAACACATTTAATTTCTTAATAAATGATTAACATATAGTTACCATAAATGTGACTTGAAAAAAGACCTCACTTTGGGCTCACCTCTGGGATCAATTAGACCAAATTTTATGGTTATAAAACCAAATAATGATCACACGTGTCCTCTTTAACAGATGGATAGCGATTAATCCCAACTTAACAGTTTTATAGTCATAAAAAATGGCTATAGCGTAACTACCTATTTTTTGAAGAAGTGACTCTGGATCCTTGTAAAGTCACATTTTTGGGGTAAAAACCTTTCCTTTAATAAAATGAAGTTTAGAACTAGGCTTTTAAATGGTGCCAATATTGGTGGGAAGTAGGGATACATACGTTTGAAAATGCATGTCGCGGGTGGTGCGATTTATTTGCTGTCGAGTGTATTTTGACTAAGGTGTAGATTTTGTTTAAGCTTGTAGAGTTAGGGCTGATTTTTCAACCGTCGGATAACTTTTAACTAAAGAATAAGTTTGGCACATTGACAGTTTTAGTACGGGAAATATGTCAAAATGACAAGGTTATTCTTCAGTTAAAAAATATCTGACGATTGAAAAATCAGCCCTTAGAAGCTTGACTCTACATGAGATCTTATAACTTTTTTTACAATGCGAGCCATTATGGTCACGTCTTGGTAACATTTTACATGAAAATGTTTTTGGTGGAATAACCTACTCATTGTTTATAAATAAACATTTCCAGCTCTACAGGGTGTTAGGTAAATGGGTATATGAGCGGACACCAGCCCATGTTAACATGGTCGTATAAATGGTATGGTGAAGTCAGAAATTTGATAGTATAATTTAAATTTTTTAAATTTTCATACAAAATTAATTTTATAAAATCCGATTTGTATGAAAATAAAATAATTAAAATGAAGATATCAATTTTCTGACTTCACTATACCATTTATATGACCGTGTTAACATGGGCTAGTGTCGGCTCATATACCCATTTACCTAACACCCTGTATATTATAGCATTTCTTCACTCCTGTAAAAAAGAAAAGGTAGACTGAAGAAAGGTGCGAAATGAAACCAACCGCTAAAGGAGATAAAATACGTTTATTTCTTAAAATTTGTCAAATAATCAGACACGGATATCCGGAACAACCAATATCTCTCGGAATGGGAACGTTTCCCGCATTCTATTTTATATAGTATGCCATATACACAACAAAAATTATATATATAATTATGTATCGCGTACAAACTAGTTTACATTATTTAGACACAAAGTACCTATTAGCATTTTAAATGCCTTATAATCTAATATAATCATTCTCGTTCCCGAATCGAAGTAGATACCATACTCTCCACTTGCACATTCCTTTAAAGTGCCCCATTATGACGTCATTGCTTGAGCAGCCATTTTGGCTTGTGCAA